TTTCTTTTTTTTGGTTATATTTATGTATACGTAGATTTTCTGTGCGTTGAAAAAAGGAGACAGAAAATGAAAGGCAAAGGTAGACAGATAGAGACACGGAGGTAGATAAAGTGACACGGGCAATATTTATACGGAAATGCCGTTACTTCTTTCGAATCGAACGTTCAACACAACTTTGCGTTTCTTATCTCACATCTCGTAGCTGCATTGACGGTGCTATTATCATTTTACAGGCGTGTACATACATACATAATAATACCTGAGCATGGTACAGGAAAATTGAAAATTTTATTGCCTTTGTTTGGAGGATTATCCACACAGACACACAAACACGCACGCGCGCGCACACACACACATGCAAAAAAGGTACGCACGCATGCGCACGTGCACACAAGAGCATGTTCGAGTGGGTGTGCGCAATTGCGAATGTATATATTTGAGAGAGTGTATGCAATACGCGTGTTTTTATCGTTTCTCTCCAGGCAAAAGCAAGCACGTTTGTCCACACTAATAATAATCGCGAAAAAGGCGATAATGGCACTCGTGCTTTATTTTATTCTGTTTTACGATTTCTCGCAATTATGCCTGAATGTACATATAGTTAAATATGTAAGATCACGAGGATTTTTAAAAATAATATTACAAATAAAATAAGTTTATACTTTAGTTTAATATGAAACTAATGTTCTTATTATAATTAGAATCATTTTTACGTCGTTTAAGGCCTTTTAGTTAGAGACTAAACAAAAAATCGACACAATCATTAATCTGTTGTTTTTTATTTATTTGTTTTTTTTTTATTTTTAATTAAATAATGTATCAAATTATTTCCTGCATTTGTTTTAAAAATGTTTTTAAGAATTAATTGAGTATTAAGACGAATAAAGGATATTTTCATAAAGTGATTTAGAATTTTATATTAAGCCAAAGTTAAAGTAAACGATATGTAGAATACATTTTATGGATAGATAATTACGTGAAAAGTAGCATTAAAATGCTTATTGCAATGGGAATCGTAAATGTAACACAATAATAGTATTTTATGAGGATAGTAAAAAAAGGCATGTATACTAAAATTCTTTTATGTGTTTTTTCATTGGTTTATGACGCTATTAATATTTTTGTAAATTAAAGATAATAATATTCGTAAAACGGAGTATTTCATTATAAGATTGAATAAATCGATCGATGCACTAGATCAAAATGTTCTTCCTATTTTGTCATCATTAATTGCATGGAAAATTATATGAAAATATAGATTTATTATAAAATTAAATTCAACTCTAAAATTATTTGTTAATGTACACACATCTCACAAAATATAATTGCATGTATAAGAAGAAATTTGGATGGTTATATTATTACTATCAGTCATACTTTTTCCCAACTGTCTTTCCCATGTACAATCAAGTTTAATCGTTCGTGCTCAGCCAAGTGAAAGGGATCACAAATTTTCGCTTATTTGTACGTTCTCCCGTGTATATGATTTCGTCAGAGAAAAGTGGTCAATGCCAAAATATCGTTTACTTGCTACGTAAAACGATAAACGAGAACATATATGCAGACTCTTCGGCGAACGAACGAAACATTTATTTTTTATTCGTTCGGCGACGAATTTATTTAATAAAATAACACAAGAACAATGGATTTTTAACAATAAAATAATATATATTTGGTGAATGTAGATTGAAAACAAATAATTAGTAGTACGTTAATATAGTTAATGCATTCCTTTGGATAAATGTAAAAGCGTTTAACGGATTATTTAAAGTATTATATGATATACATTTTCCATTATTGAATATATTATTCTTAATATTGTACAATTAACATATGCAATATCAATACACTATACGTCGTTCCAATGTATTGAACATTTGGTTTTCTTAAAAAACAAAAAAACAAAATAAAAAACAAAAAACACACAAAGACAAATAAATTTTAATATTATATTATGGGCATAATTTTTTTAAGATATGGAAGATATTTAAATTATGTTATTAGTTAAATTGAAAAATTTCAAATTCAATAAAAAAACTTTGTACAAAAATGGCTATAATGTTAATCGTGATTAAACGACATCGCTGGATCACATAAAGAAATTTGTTTTTCTAAAAGCTTTTTAAAATATAATTTGCACTGTAATAATATCAAACAAGTATATGAAACATCATAAAAGTATTTATATTTCATTTTTAATAAATGTGTTACTTAATATCAAAGTTTAATTTAATATAGTGAACGCGAAAATATATTGAGTAATTTAAACAAATTTATTTAATATTTTCTCATAAAATATTAAGATATTATTCAATATGCTTTTATTAACCTCATAAAATCATATCATGTATTTTATAGAATAATTGTAATGTCAGTTCCACTACAATGTTAAAGCAACAAAGATTCATTCGATATAAATTAATATCTGGGAGTAATTTAAATAATGCCTATTTACTATCGGCAAGTTAAAATTTAAAAAAAACTTTCAATGGTATCTAAGGTATAAAATGTCTTAATCAAATTTAGATAATGTATTGCTAGTATTATAATTAGAAATTCGAAAGATAATGCAAAAAAAGAAAACAAAACAAAACAAAACAAAACCGTGAAGAGTATTTTATTATTAACCACGAGTAAGTGCAATAGGGCATAATCTGAATAAATATAAAGGAAAATGAGTCTGGTCCTGCAATTCTACCTGTACAGAGTGTTTTTGAGACTGTCAAGGTCTCAACACTTATAAGTCAATGTAACGCACGCACAGGCAAACATTTTTATACGTACGAAAACTCGCATATATTCTCAGTCCTGATTACTCGGCAGATGAATTTTTATTTATCGCAAAAAGGCAAGGTGGCACGCTGAGTAGTTAATGGTTATTGGTTTGCAATACTCCATAGATATATATCGCCCTAGGTGTGTTCCGCTCCTTGAGAGGAAAGTAAAGAGGGCGGATGGGAAAGAGAAGGAACACATTTACAAAGGCCGGACATGCGTTTCGCGCATCCCAAAGTAATAATAAATTCTATCCTGGCAACGTGACTTACTCTCAGAGCCGCTGGCATCACAGATTCCTGCTTGAGCGTGAGTATTAATTGTTAATCGCACTGCTTGCCGCCGCCACCGCCACCACCGCCACCACCGCCGCCAACGCCGCCAACGCCGCCAACGTCGCCAACGCCGTCAACGCCGCCAACCCATGCCTCCCTTTATGCCCTTCACCAATACACAATCGCCCTCTCTTCCCTTACCATTCTTCACCATTCTTCTCTTTCTCATTGACGCACTAGTAAAATTGCGTCTGCGAGCCAGTACGTTGATGAAAAGATCCGATAACGAGAGAAGAACTTCGTTGCGTATTTAAAATATTATTTTATATCTTTTGAGAATGATGAGCTAAGCTAAAGCTTATTGGCTGTTGCAACTTTTTTTGAAAGGGTTAGATTTCCTAATGTTTGGGTCAGTTAGTTATTTTTTTATTCACAGTCATTGGATTATCTTAATACTTCATTATCATCCGATTTTCTTCGTTTTATCAGGTCGATGCTCATTATGAATAAGAAATTTATTCAAATACGAAACTTTCCAGGTGTTTATTTATGTGTATTAACAGATTACCATAATTATATTTTAATAATATTTTAAAAGAATAAATTAATGCTCGTATAATTTTATAAAGGACAGTGTCAGGCTCAATTATAACGTAAGACACAAGTGAAACTCGTATTTCAATGTATAGATATTAAAACAATTTCTTTTTTAAAATAAATGTAAAATTTTAATATGCCTTTAAATAAATTTTGTCAAATTTTTAACAAAAGTAGTATAATTAAATTCTTCTTTATTTACATCAAACAGCAAAGCATGCTTAGTAATTTTTTAAATTACCGACACTAAATAAACAATGTTATTTTTATTTTATACACATGAAAGATCGCTAATTAAGTATTTAATAAATTAAAAAACAATAATTTAATCAATTTTTTATTTGATAAAATCGTAAACTATATATATATATATATATATATATATATATATACATATCATACATATACATAGCAATCATACTACCATATAATAATACTTACCATATAATAATACTTACCATATAATAATAAAAGACAATATAGTCTGTAGCACTAATAAATATAATTAAAATTTATATTATAAAATATTATATGAAATCATTTATATGTATTATATTTACATGTAATATATATATGTATATATATAATATATAATATAGAATATATAATATATAATATATAATATATATATGTAATATATCATTTATATATATTTATATGTGTGTATATATATATATATATATATATATATAGTAGATAAATTATGATAATGTTATAATTAACTTAGTATAAATTAACAAAAATCAGTAAAAGTAATTTAAACATCATAAGCGTTTTACTTTTTACTTAAGAAATGAATATATATATATAAATGATTTCATATAATATTTTATAATATAAATTTTAATTATATTTATTAGTGATACACTCTATATTGTCTATTATTATTATATGCTAAGTATTATTATATGGTAGTATGATTGCTTACAAATCTGAATGTGTTTATTTTTTATAAATAATATTTTGATACAATAACCATTTTCTAATAAGGGATAAACTCCAATTGCACTTAATTTTAACCATTCAAATTAATATAGAATAACAGCCTTAGAATCTTGACATGTGATTACAGAAGAAGAAAAAAAATCCTTCCGTATTATATTAACAGATCATTATAAAAATTGGGTTGAATTTTCAATTATGACAAGGGAATAAAAATCATACAGAGTTGAATGGTGGGCAATAATGTAGTTAGAATTATAAGATTACGAAGACGCATAAAAGAATTCAAATATTTATTAATAATTGGTGTTGTCCTCATTTTAGTGAATTCAACGGATCCAACTGACCCAAGCGATCAAAGCGATCAAACCGGTCCAATGAGAACATTAGCAAGGACTGAATTCCACTTACCCAGAGCGAAGGGAGGCAGCGGCAGTGGCCAGTGTCAGGTGAGCCGGCGTTCCAGTCTGTCCTGGATCGGCAGCCACGAGTTCTGAGAGCACGAGGACGGTGGTCGTCGTTGGAGGACCGGAGCCAGTCATGGGTACCGCGGTCCCGTTGGCCAGAGCACGCGGAAGATCCTGCTCGTGGTGAAAGTGAAGCTGAGAGTAGTGGAGCTGGAGCGTAGTAGGACCGCCAGGTGTTGTCGCGCTCCTGGCGACGCAATTCACCGGTATGAGACCGGCGCCGTTTCTTCCCGAAGGTGGCGATGGCGTTGGTGGCGATGGCGGTGGCGGTGGATACTCGACCACCTGAACTCGGTCTGCTTCACTCTCGTAGATGATCTCCTTATCGTGAGTGTACATGACCGTCTTTTGGCCATCGTTATAAATAAGGTCGATCATTTTATGTTCGCCGACCCCTGACTCCGGAGTTACTCGACCGTCTTCTGGCTCCGCTTGTTGTTGTTGCTGTTGCTGTTGCTGTTGCTGCTGCTGTTGCTGCTGTTGTTGCTGTTGATGTTGTTGCTGCTGCTGTTGTTGTTGTTGTTGTTGTTGCTGCTGCTGCTGCTGTTGCTGCTGCTGCTGTTCTTCCGGGTCCGGCTGCTGATGATGCTGATGATGTTGATGGCTATTGTGCAAGTGATGGCTATATTTGGGATGGTGGTGGTGGTGGTGATGATGATGATGGTGGTACTTAGGATGCAAGGCTACGTGCGCGGGGGCGTGTTCGTGTAAGTCGAGCACACTCACGGGCTGCATCGTGGCGAGCAACACCTGCTCGCTCGGATCCGGCTGCGTGGGATTGCTGAGCGAAGAGGAGGCGGGCGAGACGGGACACTCCTGGACCTGCATTAAAACAAGAGCCCATGGGGCCAGTCGTTACTTTCGTTCGTTCGCTTACCTATGCTCCACCACTGCTTCTGTGTAATAAGCTTCTAAAAATACTTATTATTCCGAAGTATCGGTTTTTTATGCTGCTGTATATGTTACTTATAGAGTTCCAATTATATTCACTAAATATATATATATATATATATATATATATATTGTATATTATATTATATTATATATCATATATTGTATATTATATATTATACATTATATTAATTATATTAATTTATTATATATTATATATAGTATATTATAGGTGGTATTATTAATCGCAATGGTAAAAAAAAAAAATAAAAAAATAAAAAAATTAAATATTTAGTGTATTTATGGATCGAGGAGTTAAATATTCTGCTAATTCAATGCGGTGCTAAAAATTAGTAGCAACTTCATGTGTGCTTGCATTAAATTATTTTTAAAAACTTCGATTTTGATACCATATGCGCGATTTCTTAATTATTTGATACTTATCACCTAACAAGTAAGTATGTAAACAATTGTACAGTAAAATATTGTCGTAGCTAGAGAATGAGATTACTTATATGCCACGAGTTATCAAGCTCCCGAAAATAGTAAGAAAAAGACTTGATAAGTAGAAAAAATATAATATCCAGGCTGTGGTATCCCTATTTCAGCTCGTTAAAGTATACGTGTTCTTGTACCCGTTCTCTTTTCAAAGTCTGATTATACAATAGCAAGTCCCAAACTTTACCTATACACATAATGCTCATTGTCATCATTTACTCTTGCAGGTGCTGTATGAGGGATGTTCACAAAAACATGAGCAGTGGTCGTTAGAACACTTGAAAATAGCCTTTTGGGAGAGTAGAATAGCACGTCAGTTTCTGTTTTTTTTCTCTTTTTCCTCTTAGTTTTAATTTTCTACTCTGCTCTTTTTCATTTTCGTTTTTTCATGTATATGGTTTCGCGCATTCATACATTGAATTTTTGCAACTCGTTTTCGTATTTAATTCTCCAGTCATTACGAAACTTGCTATTTTATAAAGTAATCCTAAATGAATGAAAGATCCTGTCAGTAATTAAAATGCTCGTTTTACATTACAGTTATATTATGTTTATGAATAAATCATTAGTTAGTATTATATTATTTAGAATATGAAGTAAAAACTATTAAATGTACATCACAAAACTTTATTATTTTTATAACTTATTTCATTCATTGATTCTGCAGCATGTTTCACTTGTACTTTTCCTTTCTTTAATTCTAATGCATTTGGCACACTCATTAAGGTGATAAAATAAAATCATGAATTAATATGTAGATTCAAATTGTTATGCAATTAATGAATTTAGTAATATTTACTTATGGGGGAAGTAAGTGATTAAATAGAAAGAGTTCTAATATAGTTAATATACATTTAAAAAGCATTACGATATAATATTACATTTTTTCGTTGGACTTAAATAGTTTTATTAATTATAAATTCTTCATAAGTGAGCACTGATATTAGGGATTAACATAAATAATACTGAAAATAACGAATCTAGATAAAAAAAAATCTGATTAAAAAAAGTGTAGTAGTAGCAGATGCAAATAAATGAGTATTTATATTTTTCATTTTTATGACATACATCTATATTATTGCTTGAAATATTTGATTATCAAATATATAATAAGTTTGACTATAAAAGAATGCATATAAATAATATGAATGTTAAAATTATTAAATTTCGCAATACAGATATATTGAAGCGCGATATTTTCTTAGTGTTGTAAAAGAAATAATGTTATTAAATATTATTTTTCCTCGTCATGGTAAATTAACTCTTAGATCAAGTAAGCCTTCATGCATATGATCAGCCATAAATAAACAATTATACAAGCGCATATAGACGATAAAGACAAACGAAGATCATCTATGCAAACTGCATGTATTTCGCTTCGTCATCGACGTAAAGTACGTCATTATATAAACATCAAAATATCTGCTCGTATGTGTTTATATTTGTAAAAATTGGAAAAATATAAACGATACATGTTATATAATTTAAATGCGTAAACGGTGCAGTGTTTTCAACAAGTAATAGAGAGATAACTTCAAAAGTATTCCTACATTAACTAAGTTATGCTTACTAACTAAGAATGATTCATATCGATTTAGTATTTCATTAGTATTTATATGTATAAAAACGTGTTATATATTATTCTTGGCTCGATTAATTGCTTGGAAACTTCGTAAAAAATGTGTATACGCGCCTAATTATTTTCTTTTTTCACTAACACGTTATGTTTCATTTTTATATGTTGATCTTCTCGAAGTATTATTTGTTGAAAATTAAAAAAAAAACAAAAAAAAAACAAAAAAAAATCGAAATATAGAGTTGGCAAATTTAATGATTTTTAGGCAATGACATTACTTAATTTTATCATATCTGATAAATGTTTAAATACTTATAATTGTGGTAAAATAGAAACTATTCTACGACTTAATATCGTAAATATATTCATATTGTTATGGAATTTTTGCTAAAATTTTTAACAAAGCAAGTGTTTGGAATTATAATATTCTATTTATTCACTACTCATTTTTAATTTATTCTAATTGTCTCATTTGCTCTAATAATTACGATGAACGTTATACAGCGACACAGAGTATATTCGTAAAAAAAATTAGTTTTCTTACTGTGTATTAAAATTTTATTAATGTTCATTACTGTACAGCTGAAATATTATTGTATTATACATTTTAAAGTAAATATTGTACGTTACCTATACTAGAAATATATAATTTTTTTAGTATTTAAATAAATGTTTATAAGATTATTTTTAATTTTCAATAAATAATTCTAAATTAATCAATTAATAATATATAGATATAAGATTAAGTATATTCATTGGCTGATTAATATAAACTCTCTTGATTTTTTACAACTCTATATTCGAGGATTAAAATTTTAAGCTTCTCTGTATAAATTTGAATGAAAAATACTCAGTATGGACCTAATAAAAAAATATGAAAATGATTGATCAAGTGTAGCCTAAGCTGATAATTCTTGTTCCCTTCTAATCTCATACAGCATGCAGATAATACTCGAAGACGTGTAGGCTTATACATAAATTGCGCGCTAAAGTCTTGAACGTGTGACTACCACCTCATCTGCCCTTCGCATTCTCGATCGTTACGATTATTAATCATCCTCGTCCGTCTCTCTTAGTTGCAATTAAGAGTCGCTTGGCTCTTTCTCCAGAGACAGAAATAAGAAAAAGAAGAGGACGTGTGCGGTCATATGGTCTAAGATAACGGTGCGTCTATATATGCGAGAAAAGAAATCTAATGTCTATGCTTTATAGGCATCCGTTCGCCAAGGAAAATTGGCTTAATAGCGGCGCAAAGAATGGAGATAAAATGATCGAGATATTTTGAGGTAGCAGCTTAATCTATTTAAGTGCAAGTTGTCTCGTATAATAATAGTTAATTGATCCAGCTAATGTACTTACTTTTCCGTATTGAGTTCAAATGCAGAAATTGATTCTTCGAACAACTTGCTTCTTATTCCCGAATAAAATTGATCGATTTATGCTGATTACAGCTACTAATAGGTTTATAATGTTTAATAATTTTATTCAATTTATTATATTATATATTACAACACAAGAACGAAAACATGTGAAAACAATCGATTCAAGTACTTCTAATATTGAATATTAAAATTCACAAAGAATATTCATGTTGTATTTATCAATGTCCTTTTGAAATGTGATTATAAACTTTTAATTAATAATAAGTAAAATAAATTATATTGGGTCCCCACATCATGAATCATGAAACATGCATGTCGAATAACTTTTTTTTTTTTTTTATAGTAACGAGAATATAAACGTATTGATAAACCACGGACAGTATGCTAAACGAATTAAGTATTAATGTCATAATGAAGTACCTCTGGTCAATAACAACAAAAATAATGCCGTTAATATAAACGATTTAAATGATAGTTATAACTTAAATTCATCTTTTATAAAGCAAATAAAAAAGAAGAAATGTTCACGTAATGCACAGACAAACATAAAGAAACAAAGACAATTGATTAACAGGCCCTTTTCAGTACATAAGACAGTGTCCGTAGTTTTCGATATATTATAAATATACTCTAATGGTTAGTATAAATAAACATTTACTCCAATATTGATATATTTGGTATAGAAAATATTGGATAATTTTGAGAAAATTACTTATTTAGTTGTACTTTCAATTAACTACTGAAACACCAATTTGGAAAAAAATGTAATTGATAATCTATTTAATATTTTATTAAAAATAAAATAAATATGAATCGAATATATTTTCCCTTATTTTCTTTATTGTTTTCTTGTTTTCTTTATTAAATTTTGTATAAAATATTATATGTATAATGCGCGTGTGTGTGTGCTTGTGCGTGTGTGTGTGCGTGTGCACGTGTGAGATCAATCGCTTTAGATTTACATAATGGATATAATTAATAAATTCGAGAGTATAGTATGACTAATTCTTTTACATTTGAGTTAGATACCATTTTTTTTTATTTATTACGCCATAATATTTCATCATTGTCCAATGCTTATATTATAATGATTCGCACGTATTAAAAATATTACAATAAAATTCAATTTTTAATACGCTAGAAAACTTTGATAATAATATATAGATTTTATTTAAGGTTTCTATTAAATTTTATCTAAAGTATGTCTTCATGCTGTAAAAAATAATTAATTTAGGTTCGTTTAATTATATTTAATATAGCAATTATTGTTCCCAAAGTATTTGACATGAGCGTCAAACTAATACATATAAATAATAGAAATATTTTAATTGACCGTAAAAATAGTAATAAAACTCAGTTGCAAAATTATAATACGGTAAATTAGGATTTTTTATTTTTTCGTATTTGATAAAATTGTGCGCATGCATCGTGGCTTGATTTTTATCAATAAGCAATTTTTTAAAGTATTAAATAAA